GCGTATTGCCGCGGAAATAGGCGTGTAAATCGCACATCAGTCCAAGGCTACTATGCCAGCCGGGTCATGAGGATCGATGATCGACTAAATCCCAGTGAGCCATCAGGTGTAGTGCATCGCATACCATATATAAACTGTGCTATAAATTGCATGGGTCAGACTGGACGCAAGCTGGGTTCGCGCATACACAAACACAAGTCGGCTGTTCGACGGGGTGATGAATCACCGCAAGTGGCCGCCCACACCTACGTGACGGGTCACGAGTTCAACTTCTTAGCTGCGAGGATAATTTCCCACACAGGCAGCAAGACGGTCCGAGAACTGATTGAAGCCTGGACGTCGGATGACAACAAAGTTAACTGATGCATCGAGCTGGCGCCCTCATATGTCGCCCTGCGCAGGTATCTCCAAACTCACGGCACTGGCGGTCCTGTCCCTCCCTATTACTTATGAGTGACCTTTCCCTTATAGAATATTGATTTTGTTGACGATTTTATTTCTTTAAATATTTCCACCCAACATGCCGATCTCGCCTACTAGCGCATACTGATAAGGTCCGCAGTAGCGAGTCGACAACCAAACCACAGAATTATCGGTTTACTACACGTTCAAATTGTAGGTGTTTTGTACACACGCTAGAACTAGCCACGTCATTTTTTGCTGTTTTTTCCATCTCTGAGGATGGACTCCTGCAGGAGCCCGAAAGATCAGGCAAATACAATAAGTATTTCAGTGTTCGATACACCTTCTTATCCTCAAAATATACGCGTTCCTAAAACGCGAAAATTTGCTTCAATTCGTAAGTAGGTTTATTTTTAAAAGTCTACGGCTTCTTTAATCAATCTTGCCTTGTTGTGAATTGAAAATAATGTAGTGTTCTTGTTCGGCTTCCCTAGCCTCTGCATACGCCTGCTCCATTCGCCAGCGAAATCGGCGAATCCGTGCCAGATAGTCAAGTCTACTTATGCGTAGCCTGCTGAATAAAGTTCCTTCTCGCTTAGAGAACATGCGGAAATTTAAATAAGCACACAACTTTTGGCAGTCAGCTTTTAGCACATTGCGCGCATCTTGCGCACTCCTGCGTGAAAGTATTACTCCTCCTCCATGCCAATCGCTGCTACGGACTTTCGCGTAGCCCGTCCGCCTAACGCACACAGTTGATTCGTTGCTTGAACCACGCGTAAGCTCGCGGCCAATCAATGAACGCCATTTAGTTATTTTATTTCAGGGGTCAATGACATATCCAGGAAGCAAGTAACTCCAACAACGGTCAGGCACTGAAAAAACGAAATTGCAGTTGCAGCTTACATATCGCCGCCGGCAGATTTAGTTTCCGTTCTTGTAATTTGTTATTCGAATTGCTCTGTCTTAGCTGATTTCTGATTTGAAAACTGTCATTTTTTTCGACCCAACAACTTTGAAGGGGCAACGACAATCCTCCTTCAATGGACCGCAATACCTACAGGAACGAGGTGACCACAGCTTACTCGTGCGCGCCTTTTATTACTTTTTTTCGCCGGGAGCAGTCGTCTGGTCCTCATTGGCTGTCTAACTCTGACCTTAGAGTAGACCTCCCTGTGCTGCATTGTGGTTGGCCAGCTGTATCCTTGTATCAGGTAGCATGCCTTTGTCTGTTGTCACGCTCGCAGAGAAATATCTGCAAATTTCCAATTCCATCCTACAGTAAGTTGTTCACATAGCATTCGTATATGCAATCACAATACCACGGCAAATATTTATTAGTTTGCTGGATCAGCTTTTCTACCAGTGCATGGAGGGATGTAAGTAATAATTGTTTATGTACACATGTGTGCTAGCGGTTGTCGGGAATGGGTATTTAATGAGAACCACCAATGACCTTGTGGGCATGGACTACATTTCCGGAGAAAAGACCTCTGAATAATGGATGGTCATACTGAGGGCCGCTCGATAAACGAATGAAAGGCAGTTTCAAAATATTAGTTTCATTTTATTTCAGTGTGTTTGCCTGCAGGCACGGTCAGTTATTTGATGCACTTAGTCTTTTATACATAGCGGACATCGGCATGATAATGTCTCGCTTCCCAGTCGAGATGGCTTCGTAGACTAACCGAATACCACGTCGGTACTGGAAGCGCATATCCAATTTCGTCATAACCAGGCCCAACCAGACGTCGTCAATAGGGATAGGGCGAGTGAAGAGCATAGTGATGGCCAGCTTCTCCAACTGTTCATAACCCAAGAAGTAGAAGCGACCAGAACTGTATGGTGGAAGGCGGGGCCAGGGCACCTCACGCTTTGAGAGCGCCCATTTGTCAGTTCTGGCATCGTTGCCGTAGCGGACAGTCGGAGGTTTGTTAAATTCTAGACCGACGACCATGCGCTCTCGCCAGTCTGCTCCTAGGCGCGCAAGAAAGCGACGTAGATTTGTCGGGTGGAAGCCGTAGTCGTCGTCCAAGAAGAGGAAGCCGGGTCGTTCGTTTCGGCAAAACCTGGCAGCCCATTGGAAAGCAGTCATCATTTTGGTTGTAAGGTTGTAATATGTGTCTTCATAGTCGCATACTAGGAGATCATTATACTGCAATATCTCTTCCTGTAGACGCCGCAGAATGAGAGGATGAGTGTGTTCGATGTCTTTGAGCGCCTCTCCAGCTCGATCGGGCAGGGTCACATTAAAACCATCACGCTCGAATGTTCGATTACCGGATCTTCTTGGTAGACCAACGGAAAATACGATGCCTATTCGGAAGGGATGTCTAGTAGGTGCACTGAAGTTGTTAATGGAAGCGTACAGACTGCGAAACGTTTGACGATTCTGGAAGTTGTAAAATGCCGTCTTGACGATAACTACTAGGTCGTATTTGAAGCCGAGAGCGTAGCCGGTGTTAATATGTGTTTCCTTCACTGGAGGGCAAATCGTAGAACTGACATTGAGAAGCCGAAATGGCTGGTTGTTTGCAGGACTCTGAAAGAATTGTATTGAATTGTATAATTACAGTATGCTAAGTAAAAAGTACGGACAAGGAAAAAAAACTTATTTGGCTTTGAGAACGATTCTTTCAATTGCATCACTTGCGCTTCAGGCTACGGGCAGCAAAGCTGACCTTTAGGGCCCTCCGAATATATATTTCCCCTGCCCAACTGTTGAGGGTATTTTGTGGTCTAACATTTAATCTGAACAAGGCGATATTCACGAGTTCAGCAGAATTTATTGACGTCGTGCAATTACATAACCTCAAATGCATCTGCAAATGATCATTGCATGTTACTATAGTAAATTTACTCTCCAATCAGAAGGTTAAATAGGATGGGAAACATAAATCACAAACGTGGGTGCATAGTTAGGGGTAGAGGAGGGAGCAGGTAATAAGAACAACAAGGCAGTTCAGGCTACAGAGAAAGCCTGCAAAGTGTAAAATTAAAAGGGGGGAGGGGGACTTTCATTGCAATCCCTAGATATCAACTATAAATGTGGAACAACCCCGTTTACCCAACACTCGCTTTTAACTTAGCGACACCGCAGTGCTTTAAATTACCTACGAAAGGACACAGATGTCGTTATCTCGAGACCAAAGGTAGCAGCACCGTGGTTCTAAACAAGGAGGATTACGTAAGAAATATGAAAAACATATTTAAGGATCCTAGCTAATTCTCTCCCGAAATCCATGAAAAAAAAGCAAAGGCACTGGAAGTTCGTATTGGGAAAAAGTTCCAATCGCCATTGGAAAGACAGGTGAGACACGAGAACATGGCTGCCTGTTTTAGGCCTATTTGGTCACATATTCCTAGGCTATACGGGCTACCTAAAATTACACAATCTTGGAGTGTCATTACGGCCAATTCTATCAATGAGAGGTTCACCGCAGCATCAGCTTGCCCAATGAATAGTCCAACAAATTGAATCCTTCAGATGCAACCTTGCTGATTACACGAACAAAGACACCTTTTCGTTCGTTGACGAGCTGAAGAACCAAAGTTTATGTAATAAGCACAGGATGTCACTTTACGTGCAAAGTGTTCACAAAAGTGCCACTGGACGAATCCATCGGCATAATTTATGAGCATGCGTTTGAAACATATGTGAAAGCAGGCCAAGTACGGGAATTACTACAGATATGCACGAAGAATGTGCAGTTCCTGTTCAGTGGACAGCTTTATCGACAAAACGACGGTGTAGTTATGGGCAGCCCATTAGGACAACTCCTTGTGGATATTTTCATGTCGAATCTTGAACGAAAAGTGAAGAAACACATAGAGCAGACTGCATTTTATCGACGATACGTGGGTGAAATTTGTGTCATAGTCCAAACCCCTAAGGAGGGAGAATCGCTACTTAAAGCCATGAACGAAGCACATGCAAAGATCAAGTTTACGATCAAGCATGACAAGGACGACACACTGGCTTTCCTAGACGTGCTTCTACACAGGCGAAAGATGGTTTCATTAAAAGGTTCATTTATCGGAAAACCACATGGAAAGGACAATATATGAACTTTCTTAGTTCAGTTGCTATCCAGAGAAAAAGAAACTTAGTATTTTCCTTTTCAATAGACCTGTTAGAATATATCCTAGGGCTACGATAGATGAAGATATGTGTTTACTCAAGAAAGTGTTTCTATGAAATGGCTTACCTGAGAAATTCACCGATAAGTATAGCAAACGCAGACAAAAAATCCTACCGAAATACCAATGACGAAAAATCCGCTGAGCATCTTTCTCCCTTTCAAAGGTGATAAGTTATCTGACGTGATCAAGCGAATTCTTCGATGCACAACTCAAAGAATTTACCCTGCCACCAAATAGCTGTACATAAGCACAACAACGTCTATTTCAGTAAAGCGAATCAAAGACACTCTGCCTATGCACGCCAACTCAAACTGCGTTTACGAGTTTGCATATATTTGCGGATGCAAGTACATCGGGCACACGCTATGACCGACTGCTGCCCTTTACTTTGCCCGGAATTATATGAAGTCAAAACATTCTGCTGAACTCGTGATCTTCGCCTTGTTCAAATTTTTTCCGAAAAAAAATGTTTCAAACATTTAATGAGCGATTCACTATATCATGCGATAGCGAAATGGTTGGCGGCGAAACTCAAGAATTTGCAGCATCAACTTGCACCACGGAGCTATCGAGACACCTTTGAATGTATCGACGACATCAAAGATGTGAACTTAAACGGCATGAGAATGCTCTCCCTAGACGTCTTCTTGCTGTTTGCAAACGTCCCGATTACCGAGACAATCGAATACATCTGTGAATTCCTTTTTAGCAATCAACTAGAAATAGGAATAGCGACAAATGTACTAAAGGAACTAC